AGGGCTAAACTGATGTATGCTGAATGGGCGGGGCTAAACTGCTGTAGGCTGAATCAGTGGATATATGTTAATGTGTTTGTTTTTTCTGACATCACAAAAACAACGAATTCAAAACGAGTTGTTTTTGCTGCTTGGTTTTCATACACAGACTGTATGGACTAGTGAGTGAACGGTACATTGGTAGTTTTCCAGGATATGGGCCCTTCAAGTTCTTCTTTTTCAAACTTCTATTCACAATGTCTGTGTGGGACAAACACGCCAAGGCCGCTTACGATGTGGAAGAAAAAGGGAGGAAAATGGTTTTAAAAGATGAATTATTCAGCGAGAGGAAGCCCCAGACTTCTCCTTTTCATAATTTCTCAAAGCAAACAATGTGTTTGCAAAAAAAGAGCAAATAAATCCATCATAAACAGTATTTAATCTGCATGTTCAAAGCCTGTGGGCTCACTGACATAACACCTGGTCCCCCTTATTTCTCGTAAGAGAGCAGCAGTCCTTACAATTTCTGCTGCTTGAAAAAGTGATGAATAATTCAGACGAATTTCAAAGATCTCTTACAGCAACGCGGTTGGAAAAAATCATGTTCTGTTTTGGGGGATTCAAAGTATGCAAAAATGAGGTCAGTGTAGCAGCTGACGCTGAAAAAGAAATCTATTTCCCAAAATAAAAGACTCACTGCTCCACCATCGCTCTGTTCTTTGACCCCTTTTCTTTCAGTGGAGGAAGGGCACTCATGTAATGAAGTGTTACCGGACCTACAGGTCAGGTCCGGGACCCTAGTGGCCGATTTAATTGTCAGTGAGCGATGAATGCTCCTCGTGCTCCTTGACTTCTTACAGCCTTAAAATCCGCAGCACACAGATCACCAAAGATGATCCAGGGCATCTGACTGGAGTCGTTTACCTGAGCTCAAGGCTTGACTTAGGCTTGACAAGCAGTTACTTTGGCATTGGGCCGCTTTGAATGAATGAATTTACCATTTCAGTCACTCTCAGACTAAAAAGGCCCTTGTTCAAAGCTAACAATCTCTTTTGAATCTTTTGAATCAAGGCATCAGAACAATTTCAGATCAGTGAGTAAACTGTCGCATCAAGCCTAAGGCCCATGTACAAAAGCTATGCCGATTAATAGGAGGAAAGAAAGGAATCCTTTGATTGAGTTTTCACACCATGACCGAATCAGAAATGTCAATTTTCACACTTTTTTCCTCACCATGCCGGAACGCTGAAGAGTCACTCAGGCAAATTAAAATTGCTCGCTCGCTTTCGGGTCCACGGTTTATCGATCGTCGCCACACCAGTGAGCAGGATGCTTTGAAGCTTGACACCTGAGGAAGGAAACACACAGGTAAGTACAGCCTGCCTCACCAAATAGAAGACCGAAGAAAAAGGTCAATGATTTTCCTCTCAGTTACTTTTTAATCAGATTTTCTTGTCAAAGCAACAGCGGGAGATGTGCAGATTACAGAGCAAATCATCTGGGTATGAACATTCACTGCTGAAAGACAATTCCATAAAGTGTACGCTCTGGAAGATCCGAAAGGCACTGATATTTTAAAGCACAGCCTTCTGGCACATTAGAGTCAGCTTTCTGTATTAATACGTTCAGCCTTTTTCTCCATCCTCTCACTGTCTCTCACCATCTGCTGTGGCCAGACGACGATTCTTACAGATCCCGGCCTGCTCTCTCTCAGACTCACAGATAAGCCGCCTCTGCAGAACATCACTTCTGTTACGCACTTCACAACTGTGTTATATCCTATCCAACAATCCGATTTAACATTTTACAGACCTTTCTTGAAACCTGAGTTACAAGAGCCTGCTTACTACTGTTGTTATTCTACCTAAATGTGGCTAATGGCTGACAAGAGGGAGTCGTACATTTACAACTGTCAGACTTTTTACGTTTCTGATGAGAACCTGGTCAAAAGTAATGAAAGAAAATATAAATCATATAATAAGATATAAGTAATGCTTCGTACAAGGTAACATTTTGAATGACAGACCTTGTCAAAATATTGCTCCTCTGACCTTCCCTCAATTCATTTATTTGTTAAGTTATTAAACTGTTAGTAAGGGTGTAATGATTTCCATACAATATTTAAGCAATAGAACATGAGAGGCAGTGTGATATCGCGAAATAACATCACGGCTGTGATTTGATCATCACAGCCATGATGTTATTCACCTATAACACACTCCTCGAGTGTTCTATTGCTTTTATACAACAGTTAAATAAATAAAGTAAGAAATTAATAAACTGGGCTGTCAACGCGGCGTTTAATATGTTTTAATGTTCGCAGTTCCTTCACCAAATTATAGTTCCTTAACAAGCAGCTTGTTGCTACGTCAGAGTAACGAGCTCCACTCACTCTCTGCACAGTTTGTTTTCCAGCTCCTTACACTAAATTCCCAAACTGTCATCACCACTGAGCAGGTTTTCAGTCGGCAGCTGTAACAGAAGAACAGCTAAACAACCTGGAATCAGCCAGAAATTAACCCAATACCATTCGCCAAACATGAAGTCTGATCTTCAGAGTCTGACCAAATCAGACTGAGCCATAATTGCATAATGGCAATAGCCAAATGCTGCAATATCAAGTTTAGCTCAGTTTTGCCATTCCTTAGAGTCTGACCAAATCGGCTGTTGGTCAGATGTAACCATAAAAATGTCAATTTTCTGTTTGTGGCAAATTAAGAAGTAAAAACGTTCAAATGGCTTGAGCATCTCCTAAGTCAAAGTCGTTGTTTAGCAATGGCATCTCAGCGGAGTGATACAGTGTTTGTGAAAAAAACATGCTGTTTTTGTAATAACAGCACGGATAGAACGCTTCTCAACCAAATCACCTTGCGTGGCCGGAACTAACTGTTGTATAACATAAAATCGCAAAAGTGGACATTCTAAACAGCATACATCAAAATTTCAATCTGCATTGTTGATGTGCCCCTCTGTCTCCTTGTACTCAAGACATTGTTGACACATAAACATTGAAGACTGAATTGACCTCAGAATCTAAAATTTGATCAATGCTGAAAACTTGTGTTGGGTACACCACTGGAGGTCAATGTTACAGAGTGGTTAAGTAAGAAATGCACCAATTTTTCTAATTCTGACATTGATAATTTGAGTGAAATTATGTACTGGAGAGAATCTTACCAAGGAACCAGGGGTTGTGGTGTCTACAATACAAATATAGCCATTTTATTTAAAACCCAAAACAACCACTAAACCTAAACATCTTAAATAAGTTTTCACATTTAATGTGCTTAATGTACATGCTTAAAAAGATGGTTCTTCAAGGGTTCTTTAGTAACCATAATAGTTCTACTTAGCAGCATGAGTTCTATATAGAACCATTTCATGCTTAAATAGTTCTTTGCATGGTGAAGTGGTTCTTCTGAGTGATAGAGAATGTGTAGTATATGGTTCTATATAAAACCTTTTTTGAAAATGGTTCTATACAGCACCAAAAAGGGTTTTGCTACTGTTACGATGTCAAGCTTGTAACAGAAGATCTCTTTTTGGTGCTATATAGAAGCATATACAACACATTCCCCATCAAGCTGAAGAACCATTTCACCATGGAAAGAACCATTTAGCATGCAAATCGTTCTGAACAAAATGCATGGTTCTAAATAGATCCTTTCACTTTACTAAAGAACCATTGAAGATCCATCTTGTGTGAAGTGTGTAGTGTTAAAAATAGTGTAAATCCTGAAGAAATAAATACTCTTTGGCTACTATTTTGCCCTACAACGCTCTCGCCATGACCAAACCTCATCTCAAAACTACTGTAAAACCATGTTTTGGGTATCAGGCAGAATATTTGGAATCATTCAATGTTTAAAAAAAAATCACATTTCAAATCAAACCAAATGTAAAAACTGGAATTCTTTTTAAATGCTTTGGGCCTCACCTTTTTTCCTAGTTTTCCATGGATGCCTGTTCCTGCCATGGGAAAAAAATATATAGCCATTTAGTAAGTCAGTAATAAGTTAGTAAATGACAGTTTTCCATAATTATGACTTAGTATCTTAGAATTATGACATCGTATCTCATAATCATGACTTGCTATCGCATAATAACGAGATCTTACCTAATAAATATAACTTAGTATCTCATATTTATGACTTATCTCATAATAATGAGATTCTATCTAATAACAATGACTTATCATCTCATAATTATGACATAGAATCTCATAATTATGACCTATCTTCTCATAATCATGACTTAGCATCTCATAATAATAAGGTCCTATCTGATAATTACGACTTAGCATGTCATAATTATGACTTGCTATCTCATAATAATGAGATCCTATCTGAAACGACTCAGCATGTCATAATTATGACTTAGTATGTCGTAATAATATTCTAATTATTACGACTTATCTCATAATTATGACTTGCTATCTCATAATTATGACTTGCTATCTCATAATAATTAGATCCTATCTGATAATTACGACTTGGCATGTCATAATTATGACTTAGTATCTGATAATTATAATTAAGCATCTCATAGGTATGACTTACCTTCTCATAATTATTACTTAGCATCTCATAATTATGACTTGCTATTTCACAATAACGAAATTCTATCTAATAATTATGACTTAGTATCTTATAATTATGACTTAGCATCCCAAAATGTTGACATGCTGTCTCATAATGAGATTTTATTCGATCATTTTGACATATTATCTCATAGTTTAAACTCAGTATCTCCCAATAAAGACTAAGTCATAATTATGACCTACTTTCTCATAATTTTGAGAAGTAAGGAAGAGAACGGTGTAGTAAGTGATCATTATTATTATTATATTAAGTCATAATCATGGAAAACGTTATCATTATCATTATGTACTGAACGGCTATGTATTTTGTCCAGTGGCGGAATCAGGGTTACCGTGTTTGGTGAGACAGTTTCGGGCTCTCCCTCACAGCCCGCTGAGGAAAGGAGGAGCAGCTACAGCCGTTCGCCGCTGAATCGGCTGAATCAACTGTCCTCCTCACTCAGTTGACAGCCAGGCTCGTCACAACAGCACCGAGGGGGTCACTCCTGCGGACGGAGCTTTTAGCGCATTTTTTCTTCAAGGATACTTTGTGGGTTTAATTTTTTGTCACTTAAAAATGGCTCGTTCTTTTGACACACACGTTGGAATTAACAGCGTTTACTGAGTTCATGTGGGACCAAGAGCCACTCAGGAGGACAGAGACATGCATCGCCTTCCCTATCTTCACTGTCTGCTCCTCACAGTTTGGCTGTGGCGCGCGGTAAGCTAACTAGACAGCTAACAGTATTTAACGTTAACTTACCTTTCAGTTTTCGATATTTGATAACCTTCATTTTTCTTTTCACGTTTTTTTTTTGGTAATATTTCACACGTGTGTGACGGGGAGACCAGTGAAGTTTACCTCTAGTCTTATTTCCAGATATAAGAGCAAAAACTAAATTGTACTCGAACTATTTAGCCGTTATTTTTGACCGTCCGTTGAGTGAATTTGAATTGCTAGCCTGTCGCTTCAACCGTCGCGGCACTTTCTGTCACTTTTGCCCCCCGTTTTCTTGTTCTGCCCACGCTGTGGGTATTTTCAGTTGTAGTCTAGCTCTGTTACCACACAACCCAATTACCTTTTAAAAGCGACAAATGGAAACCACTTTCCCCCCGGAGGCGCTTCTGAAAAACCTTTTGTGGTGTAGAAAGAGTGGCATTATATTTGTAAGGCGGTGATTCAGGTATTTGGTTCTTTTTTTGTTTCCCACCCGTTTTCCGACCAACATCGCCTCCTCCGTTATGATTGGCTAATACTTCGTACTGACAAGCGATTCGCCAATCGTAGCGCAAGCCGCTTGCAGAATTAGCCAATCCTAGAGCAGGTAGGCAGGGTCTACCGGAATACAGGTGGAGGGGAAAAAAACGCGTTTGACAGAAGAGTGTCTGAAGTTAGTAGTGTTAAAGGGGAATACTACCGATTTTTAAAATTTTCCGCATACTATGAAGAAAAAGGCGCTTATCAGGCCGCCGCTGTAAATAAGAATATGTTCTTAATGGCTTGCATCGTTAAATTGAAGGCTAAATAAAGAATAAAGTATAAACAAAAAAGTCATTCGGAGTGGTTTGGTCTGAAATGGCTCGTTCTAGAGATTTCTTTACAGTGGTGGCGATAGGAAACAGAGGTCACCATGTCCACAACACAAATATAGCCATTCTATTCACTGTCCAAAACCACCAGCGAACCTACACGTGTCTTTTAAGTTTTCATATGTAGTATTGATAATGATGATGGTGGAAAATCAGAACAAATATGTTTTCTTTCAGGACTTTTTGCCTCCGAACTCCCTGCATGTACCCCTCCATCATGAATCACATAAATGGATTAACAAGACGTTTTAGGCCAAAACCTTATCACAAAAATATCAAAAAACAGAGTCTTAGGCATCAGGTAGTTTACTCATAAGCATTTCATGTAACGAGTTTCCACGTGGGAGGTTTTAGAGACATTAAACTCTTCAGACGTCTGGTTCCTATCGCCAACAATTCTGACTCGGTAAGGTTTTCTAGAACAAGCAATTTACACCAAACCACTCTGAATGCCTTTGTTTACATCTTGACCATTAAATTATGTAGAGATTTTGAAAAACTGGTGGAGTTCCCCTTTGAATGCAGACAGATCTCTACTTATCCAGTCCGTTTTAGCCAAAAGAGCTCACAAATTTGACCTCATACTGTGAACACAAATGTCAAGGCAGGTGACCAGTAAGACTACAATGTCATAATGTTGTAGTGAAAAGCTTTTAATAGCTACTAAATAAGCTGGACATGTAGCCTGTCCAGCAGTGGTCACCAGCCCTGGTCCTGGAGATCTACCTTCCTGCAGACTCTTGTTCCAACCACAATCTGCCACATTTGCTCCAGCAGTTTAACTTTTTCAGAAGTTCCTGATTGGCTGGATCAGATGCATTAGAGTTAAGTAGGGGTGACAGCATGTGAGATGCTGGTTGGAACTAAACCCTGCAGGAAGGTAGATCTCCAGGAGGAGGCCTGATGACCGCTGCTCTACAGGCTTTTAATATTTTTTACATAGCTTAATGCTGGTATTATATAATGAGTTTGCTCAAATGGATTTTTAAATAGTTTTGGGGAAGGCTTTTATTAGCAGTGTTCAATATCAGAATCAGTATTGGCAGATAATTGCTTAAAAATAAAATATGGGCAATCGTCTGACATTTAGATTAGGTGATGTTTCGATTATTTGATGCACTCCAGCAGAGCAGAACAGGCTACTGTGCTAAAATATCTGCATTTTTATGAACTTATTTAAGCTGTAACCCTATTGAAATAATGTTTTAAGTCATAATCCTATAGAAATGATGTTTTATTTCTGCTTATTGCTAATCTAAGTAAATGTAACTCCAATTTCTGCACTTTATAAACATTTATTTATCATCATTGGCAGATATGTACATGAAAAACAGTGGATATTGGCATCGGCCCAGAATTCTCATATCAGTGCGTCCCTACTTTTTATGTGTCAGCAAAATGTCCTTGGAAAGTTCAAGAGAACTTGCCATGGTCAGAACATTATTTAGATGTTCATGACCAGTGTTTCCAGCAAGATATAAGAAATCGTCATTTAACCCTTGTGTGGTGTTCAGGTCTGTGGGACCCATTTTCAATGTTTAACATAAGAAAAAATGATGCGATTTATTATTATTTCAACCTCCGATTCTTGGCCTTTGTTCATTTTCCATGAAGAACATATAAAATAACCCATTTTCAGTGCCTTCACTCTGTTCACCCCCCACACATTAATATTACACATGTGGTGTTGGGTGAACCTGCGGGGAGTAAAAGTGTGGAGTTGCTGTGTTCTTCACTCTGTTCTCCTCCTACATGGCCTGCTGTTAGTGTGTGTGTGTGTGTGTGTGTGTTTGTATATATGTGTGTGTGTGTGTGTGAGGGTGGACAACATGGACAGACTGCTGACTGGCTACAGCTGCCAAAGGAGAACCCTACACTGGACACTTGTGATATTTTAAACATCTGGTATTTTTACATAAATTGTTCTGGCTGTATTGATCAGACCAATAATGCGACCAATCAGACCACTGAGTAACAAACACATCAACACCACACAAAGGGTTAACATTGTATTCGTGTTCTATCTACACTTTTGAGGGATGTTTTTATGATATTTATGGAATATTCCTGATTCCTGAGATGGCATTCCAGCAAATTCCAAACTTTTCCGGCTTTGCTGTCATGTTGCCCATAGACAATTTATATTGCGGTTCTGCTGACCGAAAATAAACCTGTGAAGAATGTTCTCTTGCAGTTCCGACCTTATTTTGACACCAGTGATCTAGGAACGTTTACAAATGCTGGCAACGTTCGGCTGTTGAAACCGGTGAACCATGGCGGAACACTGCATGAAATTCCACAAATGACTCGGGAAGCTCAACTACTGCTAACCAACCTTGGAAACAAGCCCGTTAATGAGAACCTATGGACAATGTGCTATTGTAGTGGCCATTCAGCCATAAGAGAGTGGTATTTTGCCCTGTAAACACTTTGGGAATGCTGCAGTTGCAAAGATGTAAACAGCGCTTGCAGAACATTGTGGGCAACAATTTAATCAACTAAATGGCTATTCTGCTTAACATTAAATGCATAGGTATGCATATAACTGTATAGGCTAGTCGATTTCAGTGATATGCTTTCAATCGCAATGGCATTATTCAGTAGTTTAATACCTCACTGAAACAGTGTTTTACAACCCCATTTCCAAAAAGTTGGGATGCTGTACAGAATGTAAATAACAATTGAATGCAATGATATGCTAATCATGTAAACCATATTTTTAAAGGGAAATACTAGAAAGACAACATATCAGATGGTGACAGTGAGAAATTTTATTGTTTTTTGAAAAATGTATGCCCATTTTGAATTTGAAAAGCCAACAATGCGTCCCAAAAAAGTTAGGACGGGGCATGTTTCATCACCTCTTCTTTTAACAGCACTCTGTAAGCGTTTGGGAACTGAGGAGACACTGCTGTAGTTTTGAAAGTGAAATGTTTTCCTGTTCTTGTTTGATATAGGATTTCAGCTGCTCAACAGTTCAGGGTCTCTTTTGTCATATTTTTCATTTCATAATATGCCAAATGTTATCAGTGGGTGACAGGTCTTCATCTCAGTCCATTTTAAATGAGCCCAGAGCCCAGAGAGGGTGGCAGCGTTTCTGGATCCTGTTTATATATGGTTTCTTCTTTGTGTTTTAGAGTTTTAACTTGCATTTGTGGACGAACTGTTTTCACAGACAGTGGTTTTCAGAACTGTTTCTGAGCCCATGCAGTGATTTCCACTACAGAACCATGTCTGTTTTTAATGCAGTGCCGCCTGAGGGCCCAAAGATCATGGCTAGCAAATACTGCTTTTTGGCCTTGTCCCTTACATACAGAGATTTCCCCAGATTCTCTGAATCTTTTAATGTTATGTTGTACTGTAGATGACGAAAAGCAGAGGTTCTTTGCTATTTTATGTTGAGAAACGTTATTCTTGAATTGTTGCGCTATTTGATTGTGCGGTCTTTCACAGAGTGATGAACCCCTCCTCATCTTTATCTCTGAGAGACTCAGCCTCTCTGAGATGCTCTTTTATACCCAATCATGTTACTGACCTGTTGCCAATTAACCACCAGGTGTTTGAATTACACAACTTTACCAGCCTTTTGTTGCCCCTGTCCCAACTTTTTTGAAACGTGTTGTTGGCATCAAATTCAAAATAGGCATATATTTTTCAAAAAACAATAAAATTTCTTAGTTTCAACATTTTATGTGTTGTCTTTGTACTATTTTCAATGAAATATAGGGTTTAAATGTTTTTATTTACATTTTTTTAGAAATGGGGTTGTATATGGCCATATCATCCGTTTCCAGTGGGAGAGATGCAGCAACACTGCACAAGTGCACAAAGTTAGTTATCTCCAAATTACAAAACATATCTGTGCTACGTTACACAGAGAGACCTCAAAACTCTCTCCTTTTGCATGAACACACTCTCTCCTTTTATCACCGGTTCCCTAGTCTGGATTCTCACGATATTAGGGCTGATATTGAGCGTGGCCTGGTTGATACAGGGTTTATCTTTCTTTGTGCATCAGTCCACAGGAAAAGTAATACTTTCCATAGATCTGCTTTCACATGAACAGTGGTCGTACCGCACGTCTTTGGTTTAACCTTGCTGCCCTTAGCTGGCTTTAAGCCAGAACCGTAG